CTTTCAAGTGGGAATATCCCACCTCAGATGGTTCTGGATGGGGCTCAGGATTCCACCTAAGGTCCTATATACTACAAAGGCTCCTCAAGAAATCGATATCACTGGGCAAGTTCTAGAACCCCTTTTAGGTATTCCAATCAGTTATAGGTTGAAGACAGGCTTATAACCATGTTTTCTGATACTCCTTTCTATCCCACTCAAGAGCTTTATAATCGTAGGCAAGGGAAACCAATATTCATAAGACAGTCAAGCATCTTAACATTATTTCCCCTCTTTTACCCATTCAGACTGTGCCATAATCCCTGTATCACAGAGTCCTGTTCTTCCAAGGTTGAGCATACATCACTATTTACCTGTGTCCCATTTAGCCCATGCCAGTCTGCCTCAGTGTTCCCATATCTACCTTGTTCTTACACTCCCCCCTTCTTGTGTATTGCCCTCCCCAACACCCGGACTATGATGTGTCTATCTCCTACCCTGTGCTCTACCATCTCCTCCCTCCCTGCTGCCTCCCTCCTCCTAGTAACCAACAAAGATTTTTTTTTTTTTCCTTTCACTATGGGTATCTTTTCTGAGAATCATTTTTAAGATGGCATTTAATATATCTAATTTGACCATCCCAATGTTTAACAGGTAGAAGTAATTGATCTTTTGTTATTCCTTGGAGGATCTTACTATAGCCCCAGGTTTATTCAGAAGGCACAGTAGGTTAGAGGAGGTGGACTGCTTGCTCTCTTCTCTCCTTGACTTCACTGTTGCTTGACTACTCTTCCAGGGAGGTTTCTTGCTTCAGGTTAACCACCTTCTTCATGAAAGGCTTTCTGAGGCTATGGCTCCTGAGAAGGATGTCTTCTCACAGGTGTACATGGACTCCCTGATTTCATGGCCAGTTGCTTAATTTGTGGGAAGAAAGGGTTTTAAGAGTCACTCTCTATGAATTTTTCGAACCTCTTTGGGTAGATCCTAACACATAAACTCCCTGATGCCTTTTCTTCTCTTTGTGGTTTGAGTTTATATTCAAAAGACCTGGATTTAGTCCTAGTTCTGCCCTTTTCTAATTACACAACTTTTGGCAGCACTTAAGAAACTCCATTTCTTATTTGGTGTGAGCTTTATTATAGTTTCTGTCTTTCTGTTGTTACATGTTTTTGTATGGATTATATGAGCTCATGTGTGTGGAGAGAGATGCCAAGTCACTTAATTCTTTCAACAAATAATTACAGAATGTTGTATTTGCCAGGCATTTGCATGGTAGAATTTTGCAAAACCAAGGACTTACTCAAATTTCTTTTTCAATAATATAAATGGTGATTACATACTTGGACGTCACCTAATTGAATGCACAAGAATCAAATTTCAAAGGGCAGCTTGAGAAGACAAAGTCAAGTATTGCAATGAAATGTGCAAAGACCTTGAGATAGAAAATCAAAACAGAAGAACACGCTCAGCATTTCTCAGACTGAAAGAACTAAAGAAAAAGTTCAAAACTTGGGTTACAATATTGAAGTATTCTATAGGCAAATTGATTCAAAGAGATCCATGTTACTGTCCATTCCAAGGGATGTGACCCAAAGGAATGTGGAAATCATTGAACAATATCATTAATATCACGTGCAAGTAAATTTTTGACAATGATAATTAAAAAAAAAAATTTCAACAATACATCAACGTATTAATTTCTATTTATCAGAGGGCAAATCAAAAAGTATTTGTAAAAAATCATAGTAACCCTTATGAAACAAAAATGTTCAAGGATGTATCCTCCACCTAGGTCTATACACTTTTGAAGGTGGTATTTCTGTCTCTCTAACACTTCCTCAAAAGAATTCTGTGTTCTCTGATTCACACTACATCAAAATGGCAGCATTGGCATTCTCAAGGGACTCAATCTGTGTTCCTTTAAAATATTCCTGGGATTTGGAGAACAAAAAGATATTTGAAGTGCTGGATTGGGGCAGTAGAGTGGATGGGGTAAGGTCTCCCAATAAAATTCACATAGGACAGCCCTTGTTATCTCTGAAGAATGAACGGGTGAATTATCGGCATGGAAAAGTTGCTTGGCACAGCTTCCCTGCCCCTTTTTGTACCCATGAGGTTTTCAGTTTTCTTCAAACTTCTTCATAATAAGCCTCCATGATTGTCCTGTGTCCTTCAAAATCTACACTTTTGGGATCCCTGAAAACAGTCACCATAACCTTCTGAGCTGACCTCCCTGCATTTAATTAATCTTGAGGTCTCCTGGACCTTCCTTAAAGTGCTTGATCCATCTAAAAATTGGTTGTGTGTGTGAGTGTGAGTGTGTGTGTGTGTCACAATACCCATACACACGTGGTGAGACGCCAAAAAGATGGGAAAATAAAAACATGAGAGTTGTGAAAAAAACAAAGTTAGCCTTGACCTCAAATTTACTTATTTTTTTCATGACACAAAAGTATCCCTTTTAGCTTTTTTGAAGGCAAGCTAACAAGGAGCTCTTGTAGCACAGTGGTTACGAATCAACCTGCCAATCTCACTGTCGGCAGTTCAAAACTACCAGCTGTTCCACAGGAGAAAGATGAGATTTTCTGCTCCTATAAAGATTTACAGCCTTGGAAACCCTGTACAGGGTCGCTATGAGTCCGAACTGAATCCACGGCACATAACAACGACAACAAGACTAAGACAAGAGTATTACTGAGAGAATTTGTCTGCAGCCATCACTGATGACAGAGACAAGTTTAAATGGGTTCCGTTTGGAGTAAACCAATGCATGTCTGAAGTGGAATCCTAGTAGTGAGACTTTTTTTTTTTTTTAATGCTTAGCTCATTTATTTATTTATTAGTGATACTTTTTCACTCACTCTTATACCTTTATCAGTTTCTTATACTTTTCTTTGTAGTATTTGTCAGTGTCTTTCTAGCTTTTCAAGTTGCATAGTTAATTATTTTTTATTGATATGTAATTAATGCTATGAATTTTCCTTAGAGCTTTCATATAGCTGTGTTTACATATATGGAGTCCTGGTGTGGTGCTGTGGGTTAATGCGCTGGACTGCAAAGTCAGTTTGAACTACAAGGTCAGTGGTTCAAAGTCACCAGCTGCTCCTCGGAAACCCTAAACAGGGTCACTCTGGGTCAGAATCGACTCACTGGCACTTAACAGTAACAGTAACAAGTTATTGTATTGTTGTTGTTGTTGTTGTTAAGTGCCGTCGAGTCGGTTCCGACCCATAGCGACCCTGTACAGGGTTTCCGAGGGTGTAAATCTTTACGGGAGTAGAAAGCGGCTGGTGGGCTTGAACTGCTGACCTTGTGGTTCCCAGTCCAGTGCTGATCTTACAGTGCCACACCAGTAGTCTATGCCAGTCCTGGTGGTGGTGGTAGTGTACCGTGAAGTTGGTTCTGACTCATAGGGACCCTGTGTAGGGTTTCCGAGGCTGTAAGTCTTTACAGGAGCAGAAAGCCTTATCTTTCTCCTAAGGAGGCGGGTAGTTTCAAACTGCTGACCTTGAGGTTAGCAGCCTGACTCGTGCTCTGTAAAGACCATTACAAAAAAGCATCTTCTGAATGAAATCTCTCCTGACCCATCTCTGCCAAGTATTAAGCATGTGTCCTTCTTTCTTTGACCCTTTATAATCTATTACAGTATTTTCTAAACCAGACATTCTCCAAAAGTAGGGACCATGCTTAGATCATCATCATAACTGAACAGCTCTTAGCCCAACATGTCTATAGAAGATGAATCAATGGAGCCCCTAGGCTAGTTGCTCAGGAAGTTTTATTGATACATTAGGAGAGATGGGGCAACAGACAGACAGCAGAGATCAAAATAGCTCTGAAAACTTTCAAAGCAGAGGAGAATTCAACTTATAGCTTATAGCTCCTGAGAAGGTCTTCACAGGAAAACAGGTAAAAGACACCACTTTATGACTGAAAACACCTTACAGAAGTGGTCTCACTGAGAAAGATCTAAAAGGGAATCACTATGATAAAAGCTGATGTCCAAGGATGGGCCAACTGGCCTGGGCAAGCAGCCTCTTTCCATCTGTCTTCTTTAGGGACTGGGTGTTGGACTCCCGGAACAGGCAGTTATGGCTTAGTGCTTTTGAAGTAGGAATACAGCCCCCTGGCTGTGATGCCTCTTCTCCCCTCTGGCTGGAGTGCCTCTCTGCCCTGAGCTGAAGAAGTGCTGGTTTGCAGACTGTTCTGGGCCTGACTTTGGATCACCGTCTCCCTTGTGTGGTCATCAACCCACTCCTCATGCACCACAGTGGACTCTGTGGAGTGGGGCTGCTCCTCTGCCTCTCCTCCGGTCACACTGCACCTAGGGTGCATGCTGCTCCAGCCCTGACTGCCTGTCTGAGTGCTTGCCCCATATTGGACCTGTCCTGCCTCATTGGTGTTCACTTGTGTCCATCCTTGGCCACTGCCTAACTGTGTCTGGCTCTGTCCTTGTTCTCTACCCCCTATATGACTTCCTATTTGGTTCCTGACTTGCTCCATGGTCTGGGGGTGCATCTGGGTTTGTGACCCTGCCTGGGTTGGAGTGGGTCCTCCTATTGTTACCTGGCCAGTCTGGCTCCTGTCCTGACCATGGAGTTCAGTCCCTTGGGTCTGGCCACAGGTGGACTGCTGTGATTGGGTACCAGTGCTCCCAGTCTGACATGAGATCTGGGTTTGCATTTGGGTGTCTGACCCTCTTTGTGTCTGAGCATGCCCCCCTGTCACCATTTGACTAGCTTGGCTCCTGTCCTGACCATGGGTCACTCTGGTCTGGACACAGGTGGACTCCCGTGACTGAGTGCTGGTGTTTCCTGTCTGATGGTTCCTGTCTTGCTCCACAGTCTGGGTTTGTGAGCCTGTCTGTGTCTGACCATGTCCCCCTGTCACAGTTTGACTAGTTTGGTTCCTGTCCTGACCATGGGTCACTCTGGTCTGGCCATAGGTGGACTCCCGTGACTGTGTGCTGGTAGTTCCTGTCTGATGGTTCCTGTCTTGCTCCACAGTCTGGGTTTGTGAGCCTGTCTGTGTCTGACCATGCCCCCCTGTCACCACTTGTCCAGTTTGGCTCCTGTCCTGACTGTGGGTTACTTTGGTCTGGCCATGGGTAGACTCCCGTGACTGTGTGCTGGTGGTTCCTGTCTGATGGTTCCTGTCTTGCTCCACAGTCTGGGTTTGTGAGCCTGTCTGTGTCTGACCATGCCCCCCTGTCACCACTTGTCCAGTCTGGCTCCTGTCCTGACTGTGGGTTACTTTGGTCTGGCCATGGGTGGACTCCCGTGACTGTGTGCTGGTGTTTCCTGTCTGACAGCCCCTGTCTTGCTCCACAGTCTGGGTTTGTGAACCTGTCTGTGTCTGAGTATGCCCCTCTGTCACCACTTGTCCAGTCTGGCTCCTTTCCTGACCAGAGGTCCCTCTCATCTGGCCACGGGTGGACTCCCGTGAATGGGTACCAGAGCTCCCCGTCTGATGGCTCCTATCCTGACCTGAGATTTCAGTGGCACCTGTCTGGGTCTGAGTTTGAGTTCCTGTCACAGTCTCACTGGTATGATGGGCTCTGTCCTGTCCCCTGGTCTGGGACTGTTTCTCTGACTGTCCCCCTCTGGATTGATAACTCTTGTCTTCTGTTGTCTGGGTCCTCTCTGAGTGCCCCGTCTCTTGTTTTTGGTGGCTTGTGTTCTCCTGTCTCTGGAGCTCAGCCTGCCTGTCATGGTGACTGGCCTGAGTGGAGCTGGTGTCCTGTTCTGTGGAAGCCTGCTCTCTTTGCCCATGGCTGCTCTTCTCATGTTGCTGACCTCTCTGAGCCCCTCCCACTTCACTGTCACTTCTCTGTCCCTCTCTCAGTTCTTGTGAGGCTCCAGTGTGGTGGCTTCCGGACTCCTGATATCCACAAGCTCCCTCAGGACTCTCACTTAGGGTCTTGAAATAGGCCTGGGCAACCTTAAACACCAGTACCAGGAATTCCTTGAAATCCACAGTCCCTGTTTCATCCTCATCCAGCAGACGTAGGACTTCATCCACAGTGCTGGGGTCATGGGGCTTCTGAGGAGAAAATGAAACTAAGTCAGCATCCCTCCCCGAAGGAAGGCCTGCTCCACTCAGCTCCAGGCCTATCAGACTCTGGAGAAAGGGAACTTGACTCCCTCCAGCCCCACCACATTCTGCACATATGCTGCTATATCAGTACCAACAATGATAGCTTTTGGCTTTGTTTTGTTTTGAAGGCTTGTCTCTCTCTTCCTCAAAGGTAGTTTGTTCTCACTGAGTTGATTCTGACTCATGGTGGTCTCATGTATGCAGGGTAGAACTGTCCCCATAAGGTTTTCAAGGCTGTGACCTTTCAGAAGCAGATTGTCAGACCTGTCTTCCAAGGGTCTTTGGGTGGGTTTGACCCATCAGTCTTTCTACTAGTAGTTGAGTCATCCTACCATAAGGATGTCAGTAAACTCATTCTCCAGTTTGTACCTAAACCTTTTTATTTTGTATGCTCTGTGTCGGGCACAGTTTCTGGCCTACAATAAATATTCACTGAAGAATGAGGAAATACTTGCACTCACAGTAGTTGAGTGCCCCTGGGACTGAGGCACTATTCTCTCCAGTAAGCCAGATTCAAAAAGAAGCAATGTGATGACGTGGTCCCATGGCAATGCTGTGGGGTCGGCCCTGAGACTCAGCTGTCTTCCCCAGCATAGGACAGGGATCCCCTTTTGTAGGGTTGCCTGGAGCATGCAGAGGCAGCACCCTGATACCCATGTATCCCTGTCACCAAGGCCTTCATCTCCCTGGTTGCTTTAGATGAGAACTCAAGACAGGGAAAATCAGGGCACAACATAGGCCCTGGTGCAAGTGTACCACTGAGCATCCTGTTCTTCAAAACATAATTTCTCATGTGTTCAATCAACTAATACTTTTCAGTAGCTTCTATAGGCAAGGCACAGAACTGTGCTTCACATGAGTGCATATTAATGGTTGATCACATTTCGGATAGACTTGGGAAAGGCTTACTGGATCTGATTTTAAAAACAGCAACTATTTCCATTTCCAGAACATTCAAAGGTTCTGTTCCTCCCTGAGCTCTCCCTTGAGAGCCCTTTTACCTGTCTTCAAGTCAGAATTAATTGAAGTAAAGATATTTTTCTAAAGGCCAAGCCCTACCAACCTCTATGACCTCCTCATGCTCCTTGGTCTTCTTTGCCTTTTCCTATAGACAGGACTTAGCTTTAGCTGCTGCCTGCTCAGATTCATGAGGCAAAATGTCTGCAGGCGAACACATCCTCTCTCCTATTCTGCCGTTTCCCACCCAGGTCAGCACATATTACCACGATGACATCAGCAAACTCATTCTCCAAAAGCTTCTTCAGCTCCCCTCGGGTCAACGACTTGCAGTTGCCCTCCGTCTTGGCATAACGACCAAAGGCTTCAATGATCCCATTAATGTTCCGAAGTAACTGAGGCATGCTTGAAACCAAACTGGGAAAAGATGAAAAGCCCCCTTGGGGGCACCATATGAGCCTCAGCTGTTTTCTGGAGAGCATTTATGCTTTCTTACATATTCAGCTCTATTTTTGGTCTGTGTCCCCCTTTTCCTTTTCTACTTAACGTATTGTGTGCATGGAAAGGAGGAGTGACTAGAAGCAGGCTCCTGAGTCAAGACTGAAATGCTGCCCTCACCATCTACTTGTCCTGTGAGATTACATCAGTTACTTTGCCTCTCTGTAACTCTGTTTTCTCATCGTGGAATGAAGGTAATGCTCTAAACCAGTTATCATTGAGTAGATGCTGACTTGTGATGACCCCATGTGTTTCAGAGTAGAATGATGCTCTATAGGGATATAAATGAATGTGATCTTTGGGGAGCAAATAACCAGGGGTTAGAACTACCAACCTTTTGGTTAGTAGCTGAATACAAAACCTTTTGTGCCACTCAGGTATTCTGAAGGTAATATTAGTACCTACTTACTAGGTTTATTGCAAGAACTAAAAGAGATAATAGATTTAAAATGTTTGGCAGAGTGCCTGGCTCATACTAAGTACTAGCTATTATATATTGTTACCATACTATTATACAAATAAACACAGATATAATTTGTGTGCACTGTATACACTTTACTGCTTACAAAGCACTTTTGTGTGCATCATTCTTGTAATCCTTATTATCTCTGCTTTTTTTCATAGGCAAGGAAACAAGTTCAGAGAAGTTAGGCAATTTGCCCATGGCCACATAGAGTCCATATCTCCTGAACTTGAATACCTGAGTTTTCTGTGCCTATCAGATGACTGCTAGAGTCACTGCTTGAGAGACCAACAGGTAGTAAGTACGTATGTGAGTCAACCTCTGACTCAGGTGGGAGCCAAGCAGGAACTCCAGGAGCCTAACTCTGCCCTTTCTAGCTACTTTTTGGGCAAGTGTTCAGGAGGGGTTGAGCTGCCACATGTTGGCAATGTTGAGGCAGGGTCACCTCTCCAAGCTAAGAGGCTTTCTAATTCTGAGAATCACATTCTCAGTCCTGGGCCCTGTTGGGGAAATCAGTCTGCCCAAGAGACCTAATGACCTATCGGAATGATTCCCAAATGAAGGGAGAGATTGTCTCTCTCAATACCCAGGAATCTAGAGAAAAGTTAAGATGAGGTCTGTGGGTGGCTGGTGGTTAAGAGGCACAGAGATCTGGAGATGTATTAGGCAGAAACCTTGGAGAGACCAGAAAGAAAAATGGTACCAAAGATGAAATGGTTCAAATACAGGGGCATGTGGGAGCCTGTGCCAACTGGAATACCAGATGGGAACCTGGAGATTTACAAGAGAATGCCATGGGAAGAGAAAGACATTGTTAGAGAAACAAGAGAGTAAAAGGAACAAATAGATTTGGGAAGTAAAGAAAGAAGGCCTGTTGGCCAGAAAGATCCAAAACTTAACAAATCCAAGGTAGGCTGCACAAGGGGTCTCTTTTCTACCTAGTAGCCAAAAATTTCCAGCAGATTTTGACATTTTGTGTACATCAAGGTACAAAATTCATAGTATTGCATCTCACCAGAGATATGAAAAGATCTGGGCTTTCTTGTTGTTTTTAAACAACGTGGCAGAACGTAACCACTGCTCTGTAAACCAGTTACCATGGAGTCAGTTCCCACTCGTGGTGACCCCATGTGTGTCAGAGTAGAACAGTCCCCATAAGGTACGTTTTCCAGTAGCTGATCTTTTGGAAGTAGATCACCAAACCTTCTCCCGAGATGCCTCTGGGTGAACTTGAACTTCTAACCTTTCAGTTAGCAGCCAACTGTGTTAACTGTTTGCACCACTCAGGTACTATATAAACAGCAAAAAATGATAAGATGAACTTCAAGCTACATTTCAAGTCCTTTAGAATGAATCCATAAACTCATCTTGCCTAAATGTCACCCAGGGAGTAAAGAGGGGAGTCATGTAAGTCCCTTCCTTCACAAGGGGAATGAGTGGAAGTAGGCTGCTTCTGGTCCCACAAACTCTCTGAGCACTACAGAATGCTTCTAGAACCTTAAGAACAAGAAGCCTTCACTGATGAAGGAAAACAGTGAGAGCTGCTGCCAGACCTATTGGAGAGAAGGAGAGAGACCGGTGGCTTCACAGGGCATGCACCGCTCCCAACATGCCTCTGTTCCTGGCTTGCCTGAGGCCCAGTCAAAGAGGACACCACCTGCCCACAACCAGCACTGACTGACCTATGCCCAATCTGACAGCTCTGCTTTTATGAACTCAGGTCCCAAACTATGAGCAAAAGAAAAGGGGATTCCTCAAGAGGGGACTTACCTAATGCCCAGGCAGGATGAGGCAAGTGGTGTTAAGCAGTGTGTGAAGTACCAGGTCACCCAAGCTGGAATCTTTTATAGGGGTTTTCATTAAGGCTAGAGTTTTAGGCAGGGTGTTCCCGCCCCATGGGGAGGCTTGATTCATCTGTGGCTTAGCCCAGCCCAACCCCACCTCTTTTCTACTCTTTTTGACCTGTTGACATGTGGCTGCATTGGGTTAATTAGCGGGCACCACCTGCCACATGCAGTGCTCTCTCTCTCCACTGACAAGGGAGCCTCCCTCCTTCCCAATATGACACATTTAACATTGCGTGCACAGATTAGGTTTCCTGGTAAATCTTCCTCTTCTTGGTGTGACTGCAAAGTCATGGGAGCCATTTTCCTTTCTACAAAAACGTTTGAGAACACATATCTACTGAAGGCTGTCCTTTCCAAAGTGGCCACTTTGGGAGACTATACATGGTTTCTTGCAGATGCTGCCACTACTTAGAGCATTTTTGGAATTCTGGTTCTAGAATTTCCTTTCACACTCAGTTAATGAGACACACAAAAGTCCATTTCAGTTCTTTCTCTGCCATTTTTTTTTTTTTCTTTAAGTTTTCAAATACACTTGATATTTTAGAGCAGTTTGAGGCTTATAGAAATTTTTTTGCAGAAAGTTGAGTTTCCTCCCTCTCCCTCCCAGGAAAGATTCTCCTATTAACATCTTGTATTCATGTGTACAGTTGTTCAATTAATGGACCAGTATTGAAACATTACTGTATAGAGAAAAATTAGGATACAAAATACAAAAAGGAAGTTCACAGACATGAAAGCTAAATTAAAATGGCTCAGTCTACCAAGGAAAATTAAGAATTATTTCTACAATATTATAGAAACTTTTTTTAAGCAAAAATATCAAAATGTGAAACTATTGTTTCTCGACAGATCCTCCATCTAGGTCTGTACACTTCTGAAGGTAATGTTTCCATCTCTCTAACTCTTCCTCGAGAGTTCTGTGTTCTTCAGTTTGTTATTGTTATGTGTCGTTTAAACTCAGAGCAACTCTATGCACAACAGAATGAAAACATTTCCTGTACTAGTGTCACAATTTCTGTTATGTTTGAGCCGATTGTTGCTGCCACTGTGCCATCTCATTGGGGGTCTTTCTCTTTTTCTCTGACCCTCCACTTTATCAAGCATGATATCCTTCTCCAGGGACTGGTCCCTCCTGATAATATGCCCCAAACATAAGAGACAAAATCTCACCATCCTGGCTTCTAAGGAACTTTCTGGTTGTACTTTTTCCAACATACATTGGTTTGTTCATCTGGAAGTCCATGGTACTTTCAATATTCTTCTCCAACACCATGACTCAAATGCATCAATTCTTCTATGGTCTTCCTTAGTTATTGTCCAACTTGTACATGCATATGAGGAGAGTGAAAATACCATAGCTTGGGCAAAGCACACCATAATCCTTAAACTGATATCTTTGATCTTGAAAATACTTTAAAGAGGTCTTGTGCAGCAGACTTGTGTAGTGCAATATGTAATTTGATTTCTTGACTGCTGCTTCCATGAGTGATGATAGTGGAGCCAGGCAAAATGATGTTTTTGACAACTTCAATCTTTTCTCCATTTATCATGATGCTATTTATTGGTCCTCTTATGCTTTACTGACTATGCAAAGTTTTTTGACTGTGTGGATCATGACAAACTATGGATAACATTGTGAAGAATGGGTATTCCAAAGCACTTAACTGTGCTCATGAGGAACTTCTATATAGACCAAGATTCTAACAGTAGTTAGAACAGAACAAGGGAGTACTGAATGATTTAAAATCAGGAAAGGCGTATGCCAGGACTGTATTCTTTCACCATACTTATTCAAACTATATGCTGAACAAATAATCCAAGCAATTGGATTATATAAAGAAAAGTGTGGTATCAGGATTGGCGGAAGACTCATTATCAATGTGTGGTATACAGATGATACAACTTCACTTTCTGGAAGGACCTAAAATACTTGTTGATGAAGACCAAAGACTTCAGCCTTCAGTATGGCTGTTCTTCAATTTACACCACATCAAAACTGCAGTTCTGGCACCCTAAAGGGTATTGAAGAGCAGAGATGTCAGCTTGAGGACTAAGGTGCGCCTGACCCAGGCCATGGTATTTTCAATAACCTCATATGCATGCGAAAGCTGTACAGTGAATAAGGAAGACCATAGAAGAATTGACGCAGTTGAGTTATGATGTTGGAGGAGAATATTGAAAGTGTCATGGGCTGCCAAAAGAACCAACAGATCTGT